TCCTTCAGTGTGTGGGCCGAAGCTAATCATGAGCAACGCCACTACCAGGGTGGAATGGCAGTGGTTTTAATTTTATATATAGTGTGGCTTATTCAGTAGCACTTAAAATTTAAGTGTAAAAGGTGCTTAACTCCACTAATACCCAGAGAAATGTAAATCAGAACCACAAAACGTCACTTCCCACTGTCGGAACGGCTGTGATCAAAAAGACAAGGAACAAGTGTTGGTGAGAATGTGGAGAAAAGGGAGCCCTTGTGCACTGTTAGTAGGACTGCAAATTGGTGCAGCCACCAGAGAAAAAAGCATGGAAGTTCCTAAAAAAATTAAAACTAGACCTAGCATATGATTCAGCAATTTCACTTCTGGGTATCTGAAGAAACCCAAAACACTAATTAAAAAAGATATATGTGGACACACCACTGAACACAAGCATCCACCAACAGACCACAGAACATGTCCAAGAGGACGCGGAAGACCAAGGCGGGAGGGAGCGAGCCGACCGGTCGCAGGCAGCAGTCTTGAGCCAGACGCGACATCTCAAAGTTCCCAAATTACGTTCACTCGAGAAGAATTGGAACAGCTCTTGGGACTCTGGGAGGAAGAACTCCCAGGTGTCAGCAAGGACATGTTGTTGCCTGCCACGAGAAGCCCGGCTTCCTCAATTCGCCAATTCCGGGAACAACCCTTCGGAGCTAGCACCCGTTCAAGCACGACTGAAACACTTGTTGCTGTCTTAAAGACTAACAATGAACCCATAATAAATAAGCTTCAGAATATACAAGACACATTGGCAGAGTTCCAGCTCTGTGTTGACAGCTCTCTTCACAAAGTTGATGATCAACTTAAGACTCTAAAAGAAAGGGTCGACAAGGTTGAGAACACCACTGAAGAGATGAAGAGAGTCATGAGTAGGCTGAGCCTGTCATCATATGTATCCACTGCTACACCTGAGCCGGAAGTCGACATTGGGCCTTGCCTTAAAACCACAGGTAACTCAGCAACCTAAGGCCCAGCCTCAAGCACAGGCACAACCGAAGAAGGGGAAACAGGCTTCCCAGACCTCTCTCCTCGTCTCCTGGAGGATTTCTTCAAGACAACAGGGATGTAAAAACTAACAACAACAACAAAAAGATATATGTATCCATGTATTTATTGCAACATTACTTACCATAGCACAGATATGGAAGCAACCTAAGTGTCCATCAACAGACAACTGGATGAAGAAGATGTGGTTGGCCAGCGTTCTGCGGGGAGAAGGGAGGAGAGGCGGCCGTTTTCCTCCATCACATCCGTTATCCCATAAGACTGAACTGTGTGAAATATGAGTCGACATGTAAGAGCAAGATCCTTATGGAAAAGAATACCAGGAGAAGATGAAGAGTCGCCCCAGCCAGCTGAACCCATGGTTTCTCAGCACGAAAAGAAAGATTCAAAAATATATATTGACTTAAACATATTTCTGCTACAGAGGTTGCAGCAAGTAGAGAAGGAGAAGGATGCCTTAGAAAAAGAGTTGACCAGTCTTTTGGAACTCAGAAATAAACAGCTGGAATCAAAAATCTCCAAAGTGCCAACTTCTCGAGATGTTAGAAAAAGAGAATTGGAAAAATATGTGCGACTCTACCAAGAACAATTGGAAGGCAGAAAGTTATTGGAAAATAAACTAACTGATTTTCACAGGACAAAGGAGAGGCTAGCAGAAGTCAGCACAGAACTTCTCCTGGACAAACAGATGAATAGACTATTGCTCAGCAAGAGAAATTCTACTCCAAGAGAAAACTTGGACAATACTACCTCAAGGCCATGCACTTCAACTTACTGCAGGAATGCAGACACCATCTTCTACTAGCATATCCATGACAGCCCCAGTCAGGCTGCGTTTGGATCCCCAATGTTCGAAACCGGGCACCAGGGGTCACCATGGGCTGCAGGTTCTGTCCTCAGCTCAGTGCTCCTGCCTTTTCCTGGAGAAGGCTTGACTGAACCTGACGACCACCCCCACCCCACCGCGACCCCCACGCAGGAGGTACCATCTTTCTCCAGAAGTTCCCTGGACCCTGACAAGTTCTGGCCTCAAACCACGAACAGACCCCCACAGGTCTCTTGTCTGACCCAGCTCTTCACAAGGGCGATGTGAGGCCAGGGCAGGATGGGACATGGGCAAGGACTTCCAAAGGGGCACTCATTCTGCTATTCATCCTGTTATGGAGGGCTTCCTACCATTGGCCAGGTGCTAGTCCCCACCCTCAGGTGCTTAAACACTGGAAGGAGGTGTTTAAATGGATTTAGAACATGTAGACACCCCCTTGTGATATGCCAAGTGTTCCCTCCATTTTACAAACATTAACTTTTCACACTCTCCATTACCTCAGAGAGTGTAGGTTTTTTACTATTGCTGAGTGCCTAATGGGGAAACTGAGGCAGAAAACCACTTCTCTCAAAACCTGCATGCATAAAGTACAAATATTAGTACCACTCAAATTCTGTGGAGCAGGCATCTACACATGGTTTGGTTGGGTGCCTCTTCATCAAGGTGTCTGTGAAGCAGGTGTTGTGTTTGAACTGAGGCTCGATGGGGACAGATTAGCTCCCAAGGTCACTTGCCTAGTTTTTGCCAGGATGCAGTTTAGACTGAGAGCCCGAGTTCCTGCCTGGTGGCTGGGGCACTCCCCTGTTTCTCCTCTATGAGGACTCTACATAGGGCAGGTCAACACATGGGTACTTGTTTTCCCCATTGCAGAGAGATGACAGACAGAAAGACAGAGACACAGATATAGAGACAGTGAAATAGAGAGGAAAGAAGTGACCTCAAGAATGAGACTACAAGAGAATGAGAGGACCTGACACCCCATCAGCTGGGCTGTCCTCTATGTTGTTCAGAAGCCAGTTACTGAGCACTCAGCAGATGCACAAGGATGTTCCCACCAGAAGGTTGGACTCCCTCGAAGCCACTGTGAAGGCCCCTAACGCTTGGACCCACATGAGGCACCTGTCCGAGGCTAAGTTTATAACAAGAGACCACGGTGAGGTTTTAGGCCAGTGAGTGACCATATCTGAATTTCCTGTCATTTCAAACCCTTAAAGGTACAGACTTGAAAATGAGGCCCACATGAGCAGTGACTTCCCTGAGATCACAGGCTGGGCCCAGGGCTCTTTGGTCTAGTGTTGCATGCTGTGTCCCACTCATTCTTGTCACCTTCCATCTCTATGTTTGTGTACCAGATTCATGGGACACCAGCCAACAGCTGTTAGGGGCCTTGTCCCATCTGCACCTGATAACTTCCTAGGGAAATGGTGCCTAGCATCATCCTCACTGGGCAGCTTGGGAGCCTGGGGGAGGCCCTGAGAGGCACAGAGGCTTCCCCCAGGGCACAGAACACCTAAGAAAAAGGAGGTGTGAACTCGGCTTTCTCCCCCAAACCGGGGGCCTCCTTCTTCCCAGGGAGCGTGGGGGGAGGGCTGTGTTGGATGCTTGTATACAGGTATGGAGATAACATGGGCCAGGAAGGTGAGAGGTCAGCAGCCCAGAGGGGCCTTTGGGTGGCCCTGATTGGAGGAAGGGGCACAGGTCATGGAACCTTGAAGGGGTGACCTCACTTCCCTGGGGACAGATCCCCAACAGAAATGGGAACCGTGGTAACCAGGTACCCACATTCTAGAGACAACTGCCTTTCCAGCTCACTTGAGTGGAGAAGGTCAGGAGACCAGGATGTCTCTCTGTTGCTTCCCGTTCTTCCGACGCTCTGGGCAGAAGAAAGCCCAGGGCAAGAGATGTTTCTGTTGCTGCGGAAACAGGAGCAAGCGCCACCACCAATACCCCTCGCCCTCTGGCACGAGGCACACACAGGTAACCGAGGGCAGGCCCTTTCAGCTCACACTTGGGCGCCAACTGGGGGTCACACCTGGGGAGCCCCACACCTCTTACCCCTCATCCCGGGTGTGTGTGTGTGTGTGTGTGTGTGTGTGTGTGTGTGTGTGTCCGAGATGGTGAGGGGAAGAAAGCGGGGGATGAGGGATGCTCATCCTGGTCATGGCTCACAGGAAGGGAAGCTGAGTGCTGGGGTCGGAGCTCCGCTACCCACTTGTTAAATCGCAGGGGTGCTCAAGGGGTCATCAACTTCACTCCCTGCCTGGAGGTCTTTGCAGATGCCCCTCTCTGCCTGATCTGGGGAGCAGAATGGGTGGTGGGCATCTTCCCCACTGGTAATGCCCGGGGCCCCTGATGCCTCCTGGCCCGGTAGCGGGCTCTGTCTTTGCAGAGCTCCAACAAGGGCAGCGTCGAGGAGCTGGCTGACAGGTTCACTTATGCCCTCAACGGGTACAAAGGACAAGTGCGTCAGGACAGGGAAACCGTCCAGTGCCAAACTGAGGTGAGCGCTGCCCCACACCCAGGACCCTGAGGTGACTGGGGTGGGACCAGAAGTCAGACTCAAATCTGGGGCCTCAAAGTTCTCACAGGCCCACTCCCAAAGTGATCTGTACCTTCAATCCTCCCGACCAGCTCCCTGGTAGGGGAGAAAAGCAGTCTTTCTTCCTGTGCTTCTTGGGATCAGAGAGAAAGCATCTGTTGCTCTCTTTGCCTCATGCTCCTTTCAACTGATGAACTCCCTGCCCCAAGTATCCTGTGGACCAGCCCCAGCCCGACTGTCCTTGTAGACCTTCTCCAAGCCTTACACATCATCCCACTTGATAGTGCTGTGTATTTAAAAAAGAAACAAAAAGGGGGGGGGAATCAGGGGCGGTTAGGGGCATAGGAAGGGATTAAGGTCTTGAATACTTTTCTCTGCAACCTATCACCTCACAGAGGACGACAAACCATTGCAGTGCGGCCAGCTCAGGAGCTGTGGCCTTACCCAACTCCATATCATCCCAACAAGGACAGAGTTTTCCTCAGTGATTCAGGCTTTCACTGTGGCTACACCTTGACACAAATCAATTCTTGCTAGCTCAGCAGGGCTGCCAGGAACATCCTCACTGTGTCCTCATAGACTAGGTCTGCCATGACACAGGACCACAGATTGGGTGGAAGGTTCCTGATGCCTCCTGGCTCAGTACCCACTCTGTCTTTGCAGAGCTCCAAGGAGGACATCATTGAGGTGCTGGCCCATGGACCCGACTACACCACCTACGGGGTCAGGGTGCAGGTGCACGAGGCTGACGACACAGACGAGTGCCTGTCTGAGGTGAGAGCTGGCCTCGAGGGTCTCTACACCCACAACCCCAACACAACCTGGCAGTGCCCAGAACCCACACTCCAATCTGGGGACTCCCCGGGCACCCTCCCAGGACTCTCCCTAGTGTCCCACAGCCCCAAGACAAAGAAATGCGGACACCCACGCCCCCCTCCAGCTACATGGGATGGTAGAGAGATACTCCTCATGAGATCAGAAAGATGGCAGCTGGCAAGATGGAGGTGAGGTATAGGAAGTGAGTGAGGGGATGAAAGGAAAGTGTGTGGATGTGTGTGGTGTGTGAGTGAGTGAGTGAGGGACAGTTAAATCCGGCAGGAACAGCAGAGGCTGGCAGACCAGGCTCTCTGGGACAGGGAGAGACTAATACCACTGCAGGCACTCCCTGGACTGCGGGACTCAGGCACGGAGCCCACGTCATCTTAAAGGGGAAAGCGGCCTCTTCTAGGAACTCATCAGCACCATGACCCAGACAGGCCTTGGACACTGTCCGCGACCCGGCAGCCACTCCATCCAAAATCCTGCAGCCACACCTGCAGACTTGCAGACCCTGGGATCTCCACCTCCAAAGGAGCACCCTCCATGCTGCGCCCGCAGCAGTAAGTGCAACTGCCCCTCCCCAGTGGCAGACCTCCCACATAACATTCGCATGTCTCCAGCACGCAGGTCTCTGAGGCACACCACTCCATAGACTTCTCTTAGAAGTCACTGTTAACCTCAGATGGGTGTGATTTTGTACAGACACAGGCGCACTGCAACCCAGTAGAAATTCTGAATTCCCCCTGCCTGAATAACTGCCCACACACACCCAGCTGCGCAACTTTAGTGCCAGGGCCCCTCAGCACCAGGTCCTCTCAGAGTGCGTCAGTGCTCAGCGCAGGCCCGGTGAACTGCACTGCCACAGTTGCTCACTCCCCGAGCCCATCTATCCACAGGGCACTTTGGGAAGCCGCAGTGAGCCTCTGCTAGGTCCGATCTTGGACTAATAGGGACGCACTCCCCTGGGCAGTAGAAATTCTGAATTCACCCATCCTGAATACCTGCCCAAAGACGCCTTGATTAAGTGTGCCAGGGCCCTTCAGAGTGCTTCAGTGTGCCTGCGCTAGCAAACTCACTGCAGGTGCTCCTGTGTGCTGTCACTGGAAACGGGAGCCTATCCACCACAGGTGCATCAGCAAAACTTAGTTTCCCCACCCCACAGCTGCAGAACTCTGGACACTACAGTCACATGCTTTTCCAGCATGCAGGTTTCCCAAGACCACCGCTCCACAGGCAGCCCTGGGGCCCCGCTGCGAGCCCTGCTGGTCACGCACTTAAACAAACAGGGGTGCACTGCTGGGCTGTAGAAACGCTGAATTCCCTTTTCTGGGATACCTTCCCACAGACACTGTAATCCAGTGGCTTCAGTGCCAGGGCCCTTCAGAGTGTGTCAGTACACCCTGCAGGCAAACACACCATAGGTGCCTCTGTGAGCTGCCGCTGGGATCGCGTGTATCCAACCACGGAGGCAGTAGCAAAAGCTGAGTCTACCCACCCCACAACTACAGAACTCTGACACCACAGTCATGCTTTGCCAGAATGCAAGCTTCCTGAGCCCCACCATCCCAATAGACGGTTCCTGGGTGCCACCGTGAGTCCCTGAGGGGCACGCGTGATTTCAACCAAGGGCATAAGACAGCAAAAAGTGGAACACCCCCTCCATGGCTGCTGACTTCTAGACACCTCAGTTGTACCTTTCCAGCTCGCAGGTCTACATCAAGAGAACTCAAATAGCTCAAGAAGGGAGCTACACTAGACTACCATACCCAGGAGACCTGCGAGGTCACACCAGTAGCACCATACCCTAAAGAAACTGGGTAGCAAAGCAATCGGAGCTACAATTAAAACATTACAGCAAAACATGGGAAGACAAAAAAGCAATCCACAAAGGAAAGAAAAAGAGAAATCACCAGAAAGGGAGTTAAATGAAATTGAGGCTACTAACATCAGAGAAAGAATTCAGAGTAATGGTTATAAGGATGCTCAAATGGCTGGATGACAAATACACACAACTCAATGAGAATTATAAGGAGCTGAATGAGAATGTCACCAACATGAAAAGGAACCAAGAGGAAATGAAGAACAACATAGCTGCAATAAAGAACACAATGGAAGGCTTAAACAGCAGACTAGAAGAGGCTAAGGATCGCATCAGTGAATTAGAAGACAAGGTAGGAAAAAACACACAAACAGGAGCAACCGGAAAAAAAAAAACTTAAAAAGCAAGAGGAGAGCCTAAGGGAGCTTTGGGACAACGCAAAATGAAACAACATTCGCTTAATAGGGGTACCAGAAGGAGCGGAGGAGAAGCAAGGAATAGAAAACCTGTTTGAAGAAATAATGACAGAAAACTTCCCTGATACTGGCAAGAAAAAAACTACACAAGTCCAAGAAGCACAGAGAGTGCCAAACAAGATTAACCCCCAAAGACCAACACCAAGACACATCATAGCCGAAACCGGTTTGGCTCAGTGGACAGAGCGTCGGCCTGCGGACTGAAAGGCCCGGGGGTTTGATTCCGGTCAAGGGCATGTACCTGGATTGTGGGCACTTCCCCAGTGGGGGATGTGCAGGAGGCAGCTGATCGATGTTTCTCTCTCATCGATGTTTCTAACTATCTCTCTCTCTTCCTCTCTGTAAAAAATCAATAAAATATATATTAAAAAAAAGACACATCATAATTAAATTGGCAAACACCAATGACAAAGTAAGAATCTTGAAGGTTGCCAGAGAGAGACAGAAAGTTATCTACACGGGATCTCCTATTAGAATATCAGCTGACTTCGCAACAGAAACACACCAGGCAAGAAGGGAACAGAATGAAATATACAAAATGATGCAAAGCAAGGGAATGAATCCAAGAATACTATACCCAGCAAGGCTATCATTCAAAATTGAAGGTGGAATCAGGAGCTTCACAGACAAAAAAGGGCGAAGAGAGTTTATTACCAACAAACCAGCAATGCAAGACACGCTAAAGGGACTGCTGTAAAAAGAAGAAACAGAAAGACAAGAAGAAACACAAACATTAAGAATAAAAATGGAAGATGGCGGCATAGGTTAACGCCAGAGATCGCTGCCTCAAACAACCACTTCAGAGATATAACTAAAGGACAGAACGGACATCACCCAGAACCACGGGAAGGCTGGCTGAGTGGAAATTCTACAACTAGGAGGAAAGAGAATATCATACCCAGACTCAGAGGAGGCGCAGTGCTGAAGTGAAATACTCAGGTGCGGAGTGTGCGCGCGGAGCGGGCTGGCGGCGGAGGGCGCGGTTGTTGTTTTCAATCGGGAGGGAGTTTCAGACTCTGAGCTCCAGATCCGGGCGAGTCTCTGGGGACCGAGACTCAAACGGGAGAAACGGGACTGTCTGGCTTCGGTCGGAACTCGAAGGCAGCTTTCTCTCCGAGGTTTGCAGCCATTGCTGGGGCTCTGAGAGGCAGAGCCCCTGGGGAAGGAACTGAGAGTCGCCATAACTGCTCGTTCCACCCGCCCTGTAGATCCCCGGGGACCCGCCCCGCCCAAGCCCTGCACAAACTGCACAGAACCATTTGCCGGATAGCCTCAGGCAAACGCTAGATTAGCACCGCCCTAGAGATCCAGCACAGAAGCCCTCCCACTACAGACACAGCAGACTCTCATAGCCAGTTACCCTGGAGGTCAAATCACCCCGGTATTGCCGACATCAATCAAGGCTTAAAGGCAACAAGACTGCGGACAAAGACCACTAGGGGGTGCACCAAGAAAGCATAAAAAATGAGGAGACAAAGAAACAGGACAAAACTGTCAATGGAGGATATTGAGTTCAGAACCACACTTTTAAGGTCTCTTAAGAACTGTCTAGAAGCTGCCGATAAACTTAGTAAGGCCCTCGAAAAGACTGGTGAGACCGCCGATAAATGTAGTGAGATCCTCAAGAAATCTAATGAGACCCTCGATGTTGTGATAAAGAACCAACTAGAAATTAAGCATACACTGACTGAAATAAACAATATTATACAGACACCCAACAGCAGACCAGAGGAGCGCAAGAATCAAGTCAAAGATTCGAAATGCGAAGAAGCAAAAAACACCCAACTGGAAAAGCAAAATGAAAAAAGAATCCGAAAATATGAAGATAGTGTAAGGAGCCTCTGGGACAGCTTCAAGCGCACCAACATCAGAATTATAGGGGTGCCAGAGGATGAGAGAGAGCAAGATATTGAAAACCTATTTAAAGAAATAATGACAGAAAACTTCCCCCACCTGGTGAAAGAAATAGACCTACAGGTCCAGGAAGCGCAGAGAACCCCAAACAAAAGGAATCCAAAGAGGACCACACCAAGACACATCATAATTAAAATGCCAAGAGCAAAAGACAAAGAGAGAATCTTAAAAGCAGCAAGAGAAAGAAACCCAGTTACCTACAAGGGAATACCCATACGACTGTCAGCTGATTTCTCAACAGAAACTTTGCAGGCCAGAAGGGAATGGCAAGAAATATTCAAAGTGATGAATACCAAGAACCTACAACCAAGATTACTTTATCCAGCAAAGCTAACATTCAGAATGGAAGGTCAGATAAAGAGCTTCACAGATAAGGAAAAGCTAAAGGAGTTCATCACCACCAAACCAGTATTATATGAAATGCTGAAAGGTATCCTTTAAGAAGAGGAAGAGGAAGAAAAAGGTAAAGATACAAATTATGAACAACAAATATGCATCTATCAACAAGTGAATCTAAGAATCAAGTGAATAAATAATCTGGTGATCATAATAGAATCAGGGACATAGAAAGGGAATGGACTGACTATTCTTGGGAGGGAAAGGGGTGTGGGAGATGCGGGAAGAGACTGGACAAAAATCGTGCATCTATGGAAGAGGACAGTGGGTGGGGAGTGAGGGCGGAGGGTGGGGCGGGAGCTGGGAGGAGGGGAGTTATGGGGGGAAAAAAAAGAGGAACAAATGTAATA